ATTCTCAATAAAAGTTCTATACATATATATTTCAAAATAAAGGCATGATTCATAGTTTTATAAATGTCTTGTTTAGTAGTCAGACTCTTTCATATCATGAGATTCTTGGTAGAAAATAAATAAAAAGATTACTAAGTAATAATCAGTTAGGAATCACCAGCCTCTTCAAAGAAATTCAGCACTGAGAATAAACACAACGTAAGTGACAGAATTTTATCACTGAGTAAGAAAACACAAAGATTTTATTATTTTTTTTCTGTTAGTCAGTTGTCTGTGTTTTCAGCAGTGGAAAAAGGCCGAAATGGTAAATCAAGACTAAGAAATCAGACCAGCAGATGGCAAAATGGTTACATCACTGGACTCCCATTTAGTAGACCAAGTTTGAGTCCCAGACTCAGCAGCTTAAGCTCATACCGAGCACGTGTGCGTCCATGCCCAAAATCCCAAGACGAGAATGGAAGAGAAGGAACTGCAGCATAGCCATACCCCCTGGAGGGTGATTTCTCAATTTCTATCTCTCTGTCTCTCTTTAGTGAGTGAATGCGCCGTATAGCAAAAATCTCTCTTAAAAAATAACCAATGTAAAGAAATATTTAAAGTTCCACGGGACCAGTAGTTAGCATAATGGCTATGTCACTGGACTCTCATGTGGTCGACCACGGTTCGAGTCCCGGACCCAGTGGCTTAAACTCACGCCAGGCGCGTGTGCGTGCGTGCCCAAGATCCCGAGAGGAGAATGGAGGAGAAGGGATTGCGGCATGGCCATGCCCCCTGGGGGGTAATTTCTCGCTTTCTGTCTATATGTCTCTCTCTGTCTGGCTGGCAAACGCACGTGCCCTATAGCAAAAACCTCTCCAAAAAAAAAAAGAAAAGAAATATTTACAGTTCCAGAAAGAAAGATAGCTAAGTACTAGTGTGAAAGAGATGAAGCACGAGAAAGGACTGACCTTATGAAGTCTGCAGTTACGCTTACGCTAAAGACTGTGTCTAGAAATCATGTATGCCTTTTATTCTCAAAAAAACACTGCCCTACAAAAGTTCAGCTAACCAGTTAAATAAACATATATAATTAAAACAATCATATCTGTAGTACACCTAGACCTGTATCACACAGAAGTGGAGGGATTCTGAGTCTGACAAACTTGAGTTCATACTTCTGCTCCTCTACCATTTAACCCTAACTTCACGTGGCCCCTGTAAAAATGTTTCATTTAACAATAATATATATCCCATAAGGTTATTAGGAAGAACCAAAGCCAATTCATGTGAAGAACTCAGTGTAGTGCCTGGCATAAGATAACTATTTAATAAACATAGCTATCATTATTAAAATATGAATATTTCTCTGACCTTAAGATTTGGGAGGACTTAAGCTTTAAAGGAAAACAAATGGGACAGGAAAGATGAATATCTAGCTAAATAATCACTTAAAATTTGTTATGTGACTTATAGAAATTATTCTTCTTCAGGAACCAGCAGTTAGCGCAATGGCTATGTCGCTGGACTCCCACGTCATCGACCGCGGTTCGCGTCCCAGACCTGGTGGCTTAAAACTCACGCCAGGCGCATGTGTGTGCGTGCCCAAGATCCCGAGAGGAGAATGGAGAAGGGATTGCGGCGTGACCATCCCCTCTGGGGGGTGATTTCTCGCTTTCTGTCTCTATGTCTCTCTCTGTCTGTCTGGTGCGTGCACATGCCCTATAGCGAAAATCTCTCCAAAAAAAAAAAAAAGAAAAAAATTATTCTTCTTCCACAACAAAAAGATAAAAACTCCAACAGAAAACATATACATTCATCTGAGGCTACCTGGGAGATCCAGGTTTGGGTCCCAGAAAATCTAAAAAGGCTGGGGGTAAGGGTATGATGAACTTGTGCTTCTCCATGATTGGGAGGCTGGGGCAAGAAGTATCACGTGTGACAAGATCTGATCAAAATTATCTAGCTTTTCTCTCGTTCGCATAAAATAAATAAATAAATAAAACCAGGGCCAGCAGATGGCATAGTTGTACATCACTGGACTCTGACGTGGCTGAGCATGGTTCAAGTCCCAGACCCGGTGGCTTGAAAATCACACCAGGTACAACTGTGTGTGTGCCCAAAATCCCAAGAGGAGATGGAGGAGAAGGGACTGCAATGTGGTCCTGGGGGGTTATTTCTTGCTTTCTGTCTCTTTGGCAAGTGCACGTGTATGTATAGCAAAAAGAAAACAAAAACAAAAACTCTACTCCAGGTCCCTAGTATACGAATTCACAAAGATAGTAGTGGAGACTAGATTAGTATTTTTCAGCACCTCGACATGTGGCTGATAATGTGAGACATTCCTTTTTTTTCTTTTTTAATTTAAGAATTATTTTATTTTTTGTTTATTTATTTATTCATTTTTAATTTGACCAGCAAGGGACAGAGCAATAGTGAGAGCAAAAAAGTGAGAAAGCAAACTGTCAGGTCTGGGACTTGAACCACGGTCAGCCATTTTGGAGTCTAGTGCCCTTAGCCACAATTCCACCTGCTGGCATAAATGTGAGGTATTTTTGAGTTTATAAATCTCTAAATCTGGAGCAAAAATGTTCACTGCTACCTACAAGTAGTTCCAGTTATAACTGTATCTGTTCTCACATAGTTGGGGTGGAATTTATTTTCACAATTATTATTTCTTTTTTGGAGAAAGGCTTTTTGCTAAAAGGCGCCTGTGCTCACCAGAAAGACAAAAAGAGACAGAGAGACAGAAAGCGAGAAATCACCCCCTAGGGGGGATTGTCACGGTGCAATCCCCTCTCCTCCATTCTTCTCCCAGGATCTTGGGCACGCACGCACACGTGCTGATGTGAGTTTAAGCCACCGGGTCCGGGACTTGAACTGCGGTCGACTACATGGGAATCCAGAGACATAGACATTACATTAACTGCTGGTCCCTTGTTTTCAAAATTTTTAAATTGAAAAATAATTATTTGTCAAATCTCTCCTACTGACCTCAAAGACAAGAAAAATTCAGTTAAAATAACTATATTGTGATTCAAATTGACATATTCAAAGCTTGCCAAAGAAAATGTAAGTATCTGATTATATGAAAAAAATCCTTTGGTTTTTATCTTTAAAAAAACCTACCTGGGATCAGCAGTTAGCGTAATGGCTATGTTGCTGGACTCCCATGTAGTCGACAGCAGTTCGCATCTCGGGCCCAGTGGCTTAAAACTCACGCCGGGCGCATGTGCGTGCATGCCCAAGATCTCGAGAGGAGAATGGAAGAGAAGGGATTGCGGCATGGCCATCCCCTCTGGAGGATGATTTCTCGCTTTCTGTCTCTCTCTCTCTGGCGAGCGCACGCGCCCTATAGCAAAAAACAAAACAAAACAAAACAAAAAAAACCTACCAAAATTTCAGTAAGGAGAGAAACCATATTTTGCTCTATTTTTGTAGTAAATTCCTTATTTCCTTATGTCTAAGGAAACACAAATACTGCTGCTGTATTAAGAATGAACAGAGCAAAATGTAATGGACCATGTATAAGGCTAGAGACAAACACAAAACCAAGTTGTTAACTTTGTTTCATCTTTTCTGTCTGTATACGTACCTGCTTTGGGCTGACAGGTTTTGGCTAGATATGTATTTTAAATACTGATCCGCTCAAAGCTTGAGGGGAAAGATATTCTACCTTTGGCTAAATTAAAATCTTGATGAAAGGAACTGTACTACATGACAATTACCAATTTTTTAAAACTGAGAACAAAATAATTGTAATCCACATTAAAATGGAATATAAATTACTCTGTAAGTATAGTAGTCCTCCTTATTCAGAGGGATATATTCTAAGACCCCAGAAGATGTCTGAAACTATAGGTGAGTCCTATATATTCTAAAGGTTGAGAATCCCTAATCTAAACTGCATTAAGACCAAAAGTGTTTAGATTTTAAATTATTTCAGATTTCGAAATATTTGCATATACATAATGAGGTATCTTGTGGATGAAACCGAAATCTAAACACAAAATACATTTATACACATTGATTGAACATGATTTTATATACTGTATTACACCATTTTGACTGCTACCCATCATGTAAGGTCAGGTGTAGAATTTTCAACCTGTGACATCATATCAGTTACAGATTTAGAAGCATTTCAGATTTGGGATATTCAGATTAGGGATGTTCAACTTGAGTATCTTTTTCATCTGTTAACTGAAATGGCTATTGGACTGGACAAAGAGTGATTTATGTCGTGGGTGGAGACAACACAGGATGGTGTTTTGTCATCACATTACTCAGAACAATGAAAAATTTTAAAACTTAAAAATTGTATATTTGTGGAATGGTACTCAAAACCTCAGAAAAGGAAACTACAAGAAAAAGGGGACCACTGTACTTCAAAATCTTATGTAAAATCTAATCCTTGAGTTAAAAGAATTCATTTTTAATGTTTACTGTTAATAAGTCAAAGACTAAATGTATCTATTGGGTTGTCATGACACATTTTTGCATAGAAAAACATAGAGGAATATCCATGACTTTCCCGGTGACCAAATATAATAGCACTGTGATGATTACTACTGCAGTAGGTTTCAGAGCAAATTCTTACAAGTTTATTTACATATCATTTTATTTCCTAGTAGAAATGTACAAAAAGACAACACATGACACTTCCTGTTGTTCAGATTCCAAACAAATGGAACATTCTATAATAAATTTTATGACATGACTTTTGAATATGGTAGGACCCAGAATAACTCTGTGTATTACAAACAACTGAACTCAAATGTTAACAAAATTAAAAGAGAAAAAATTAATTTAATAAAATTAAGTAAGCAGGGATAGCTCAAAAAGCTACCAAACAAAAATCATTTCAGCTGGTTAATAGTGGGTCACTAACCTTACTTAAAATTTTTTAAAATCACCTAAGTTCATCAGCTAAGCATACAATCCTATTGTACCCGCCATCCCACACATACAGAAAGCAGCCAAGATATCACTTTCAAATAATGTCTAATAAAAATTATCTTTACCTGTAAATTGTTTTCTGTGACTCTGTTCCACCAAACCATATTGATGGGTACTCCTGATTTACACCTGTCAGCAAGGCAGCCAATAGGGTTCTTTGCTTTTCGAGCCTTTGATCCCATCGGAACTAGCCTCTCTTCCAGCATCCCCAGGCGATACTTCCTTGGCTAGGAAAAAGAAGGAAAGAAACCAGGCCACTCCTAACTTCTCCCACACTAATCTAAACTAACATAACTAACATATAGCAGAGACTGGGAATGGTGGAATAGGAAACAAGTAAAATTTTTAAGACATTCCCTCTAATGTCCTATCACCACCCACCCCTCCCACTCCACCACCCCACCTCCAAAAAACCCACAGTCCTAATAAGGTGAACAATATCATTTAAAGCAACAAATATTTTAAAGAAATGGATTATAATCTGATTTTATAAAACTTTACTTAATGAATAGAAATTAACTTATCAGCAAAGTAAATGCTTTGAAAATCTTTTTCTACTGGCACTTACCTATTCTCACTGCAATATGAAGAAGTGGCTTCAAGGGCACAAAAATACAGATTTGAAAAAAAATCTCCAAACTACATCTTTTTCACTTACTTATCTTGCTACCATATTTCCTACTGTGAACTACCCCATTTAAAAGCAGTTAATCCCAAAGGAGTAGATTTCTAATTTCTTTTCAATTCTATGAACATTAGGCCAGAGTATAAGTCACTCCATATTTAGTAGACATAAAACCTAAGATACTCAATAAAAAGAACTTCAGACTGAAAAGAAAAAAAATACAAATGTCATTGGTCTTTTAAATATTCGTAATTTGAACAGAAGGATTCTGAATAAATTATTTAATAAAACCATAATTCATTGCCTAATAATAAAGTTAGTAAACCATCTTAATAATGCTTAGCAAAGCTTTTATACATGGAAATTAATGATAATTAATATCTTGTTTTTCTTAATTATGGCAAATTTACACTAAATAGCATAATAAAGAAAATCTGTAAAGAAGGATCTTCCACCAAAGCTCATGGAAAATGTGTACTAGAACATTGTGCATAGATTTCAAAAATGTGTTCCGTGAAAATAAATTTAAACTTTAATTCCATTTCTACACAAACTTTTTGTATCTATATTTTTTCTCTTCAGAGAATATAGTTATATGATTAGAAAAGTATCTAATTTAAAAGACAAAATAGAAGAAAAACCTATGTACACTCCTTGTTTGGTCATTTTGTATAAGACCACTGAAACAGATAGTTAATAAGGCATAGCACTGTATCAGTAGACTCCCACACGGCCAACCACCGTTCAAGTCCCGGACCTGGTAGCTTGAAAATCATGCCAGGTTCGTGGGCATATGTGCCCAAGACCCTGGGAGGAGAGAAGAGAAGGGATTGTGGCATGGCCATTCCCCTGGGGGGGCGGGGGGGAGGCAGAGGGTGATTTCTCACTTTCTCTCTTACTGTTTCTAAAGTGAGCACATGCACCCTAAAGCAAAAATCTCTCTAAAAAAAAAAAGAGAGAGAGAGAGAAATATGCCAAAGCCAGACAAATATATTTACCATTTGTTTCTAATAGGAAAAAAACAATGCAGGAAAAAAATTTGATTTCAGACCAGCAGGTGGCATGGTGTTTAAGGTACCAGATCTCACATTGCCAACTGCATAGTTAAGAGTCCTAGGCCCAGCAGCTTGAAAAACACACCAGGCAAGTGTATATGCATGTCTAAAATCCAGAGAGGAAAAAGGAGAAGGGACTACAGTGTGGCCGAACAGTTCAGGATATGATTTCTCACTTTCACCCTCTCTGAGTGGACACACATACATCCTACAGCAAAACACACACACACACACACACACACACAAATAAAACCCACTGATTTCTAAAGTTTAAACTCCTCGTAAATAATATCTATGCAAATTACTCTATGCAGATTAGATTCTCCCCTCCACAAATAAGGTTCTGCTATACTGTCTTTGATTCAACGAAGTAAAAAATAATTAAGCTAGCATTAAGAAAAGCAACTCTGTAGAGGGAACAACAGATGGCATAATGATTACATCACTGAACTCCCACCATGGTTCAAGTCCTGTATGCAGTGGCTTCAAATTCACATCAGGTACATGTGCATGCATGCCCAAAATCCCAAGAGGAGAAGGGACTGTGGAGTGGCCATCCTCCCAAGGGAGTGATTTATTGCTTTCTGTCTCTCCGGCTAGTGCAAGTGCCCTATAGCAAAAATAGCTAAAAAAAAAAAAAAAAAAAAAAAGACAACCAGACTAACCTACCTATTCAATAATTATAGCAGTAGGTAGAGTATTATGAAGCTAAAGTATTTCCAATTTAAGCAATCTTGTACTGATCCAGTTATTCTTTATGTCTATGTTAAAAGAAAGTTTTTACAGATGAGTTCTCCCTGTTGAAAACAACATATAAGCTCACCTCAATTGAGACCTCACTAGCCCTGTACCATGGTGACTGAGGGAGCGAGATCCCACATGGCCAACCACAGTCTGAATTCTGGCCCTAACAGCTTGAAAAACCTGTCAAATATGTACATTTGTGGCCCAGCCCAAAATTCTGACAGATGGAGAAGTGAAGAATGAATTGTGGCATGACTTCACACCCCATTGTGGGGTACGTTCTCTCTCACTCTCTTCTCAAGTGCATGTGTTCTCTGGCAATTAAAAATAAATAAATAAATAAATAAAACACTTCACTAAGTAAAAATTTATATTTGAGAAAATTCCTGGGATAAAACATAGAAACTGAACACACATGAAAAACATACTGAACTCACAGCCCAGGACCTCCCTGAACATGCCACTGTGCACATGCCCATGATCCATGCAAGCCAGCCGAGACTGTGGGTGGGTCACAGCATGAAGACCCTGTTGGAGTGTGCGCTTACTCTAGCACACTAGTGCTCTCCACTTTCTCTCTCTCACGGAAGAAACAAACTAACTTTAAAAAAAATTCTGGCCAGGGAACCAGCAGTTAGCGTAATGGCTATGTCGCTGGACTCCCACGTAGTCGACCGCGGTTCGCGTCCCGAACCCGGTGGCTTAAAACTCCCGCCGGGCGCGTGTGCGTGCGTGCCCATGATCCCGAGAGGAGAATGGAGGAGAAGGGATTGCGGCGTGACCATCCCCCCTGGGGGGTGATTTCTCGCTTTCTGTCTCTATGTCTCTCTCTGTCTGTCTGGCGAGCGCACGCGCCCTATAGCAAAAATCTCTCTCAAAAAAAAAAAAAAAAAATTCTGGCCAAAGATTATTCTAACACTACCATAAGAGTTCAACAAATCAAAGAATATTTACTTAAAATCATAACCTGTCAGGGCCAGCAGGTGGTGTGGTAGTTAAAAAGTGTTGGATTCCCAGGGAACCAGCAGTTAGCGTAATGGCTATGTCGCTGGACTCCCAAGTAGTCGACCGTGATTCGCGTCCCGGACCCGGTGGCTTAAAACTCACACCGGGCGTGTGTGCGTGCGTGCCCAAGATCCCGAGAGGGAACGGAGGAGAAGGGATTGCGGAGTGACCATCCCCTCCAGGGGGTGATTTCTCGCTTTTGGTCTCTGTGTCTCTCTCTGTCTGTCTGGTGAGCGCA